TAGTTCAGCTTTACTGATACCAACATTTGGGGCTATTTATACTCGGAAACTCGCTAAACGTATAATTGGTAGCATAATATCCGCTAAGTTGAACCGTAAACTCACACATTCTCCTTACTTTTCAACGCTGGTGCACAAGAGGCATTACGACGAGCTTCTAAAATGACAGTTCATCTTCACTGCTATTTAATTATCAAAGGATCCCTCGTATAAATTTACTCTCATACATGATAAATAATATATTGCATTCCTTCTATGTTTAAGAGTTCTCTTTCTCGCACATAAGAGCTTGGAAAATATAAATTGTCTAATCGATTTCTTTTCATATTCGTTATTGCGTGAATTTGAATCTGTTAAATTACAGCGCTTTTTGGCCTTGCTAAAAAGCTCAGTCAGATAATTGAGATCTAATAATTAGCTGAATGACTTGAAAGGCAAAGTTCAGTTGCTGTGAACGCAACTTGAGACAATGTTCGCCAACATTTTGCATTCAATGTTGAGCTTTAATGTAAAAGTTGATATCTTGAACAAGTCGACTACAACATAAATCCAAAAGAGAGTTGCTTTATAATTTAAGTTTCGCGATCAGAACTTTTGGTACGTCATAAATATTTATGCATCACCGAGTCTATCATCGAACGTCCTATTTCAGGTGGCAGTTCCGATGAGCTTTCATTTCATTAAGAGTTCTTTTCTTTCGTGTTGGCGATACTTGAATCGTCATAGGACCGATAAGTAATAGAATATTTGGAAACCCTTGTTCTACTGGTAGCGTTTCAAAGCACGAATCGACCAGACTTGTTGATTACCATTCTTTTAATATTAATTGTAGTACTTGAATATCTTTATTCACCAATTCTATATCATATCGTAACCTAATAAAAAGCTTTCAACTGTCGAATTTCTAAAAATACTTAAGTATCAGACGATAATAACAAACTCTGATAAAGAATTCGCATTATTTTTTGAAAACGAAAATTCATTAAAGTAAGTATAGAATCAACTACTGAATGGAAAACAGTCTATATTGACGGGCACTATCAATTTGTTCATGTTTTTACGCATTTGAAGAAGATAGATTGATCGTATTAATCCACATCACTTCAGTAATCCTCTCGACTGAAAGGAGGGTCATATGAAAAAATCAGTTTGTCTGTTTGTTTGTGTCTAGATCAAAGGTTAAAGATCAAAAAAACATTTTTTCGAAAATGCTCAAAACTTCATAAAAGATTGTTTGGAAGGGATTTTGAGGCTCGAGGTTGGGTATGTCAAAAGAACACTGAACTAGTGGGAACGCCAAGAATGGACTTGAACTATCTGAGCTTCCCCAAATGGAAAATTATGATGCCGCATCCATACTGAACCATAGGGTCAGAGGTGAAAGAAAGATTCTTCTCATATCTGAAAAGAGAGTCATACGGGAAAAGATGGATTGAATAAAGATGAGATGCAATTGCACTACCTGAATGACTGATACTCGAGAACTTATGGTCAAAAAGCTTTCAGCGTAGCCCCTTCGGGATTAAAATGTGAAACTCAATCCCTCACCAGCTTTTTAAGAGAAATATTTTATCGTGAAAAGTAAATTTATAAGCTTTTGAATAATATTGTCAGTTTGATTTTGACAATTGATTGTGCAACTGAACAGTGTGACGATTTCTGATGGAAGAGATGTATGCGCTGATGGAACTACGCTTATTTATTTCTTCCTCATCGATCGCATCGTTCTGATACAAGACACGCGTTTATATACTCGTCCACAGAGAAGAGAACGCAAGAATATGTCATATCGAAGTACATCAAAATGGACTGAGATAAGGACATAATACAGATAAT